CGCCCGTTTGTGCCAACCGTCTCCCCGAATAAACCCGGGCGAGCCGATGCGCAGGCGCCGCTGCGCACCCGCTAGCCAGTTTCTCCATCGGTCGATTCGAAAACCCACTGTGAGCATCCCGCTCCAGGATTTCTCCTCCCGCTCGCTCCATCTCGCTGTCCCCTCGCTATTCTGCCTCCTCGTCACAGTCCAGCTTCGGCTCCGGGGGTCTATCCTTGGCTTCCCCGGTCCGAGGCTAGGAGCTTTCGTCCCGCCCTGTCCCCGGCCGCGGGCTGGCCTCAGCCCCACCTCCAGGCCTTGGCCAAGGCCGCGTCTGCCCTTATTGTTGCCAGTTGCCGCACCAGGCCGCCTCTAAAACCGTGAACCGGAAGGGCCCATCTGAATCTGGCTTCAGGTGCCCCCACCTTATAGCTCCCTCCCCGCCCTTGTCAAGGCCCGCTGTAAGAATTAGAACGTTCCCTTGATTCTGTTCAGCCTACAGGTTGGTCTTTTTCATTTCAGGGTTGTTGTCTTTTGCTGTAGGGCGTGTATGCTCACTGGGGAGAGACGGAGACAAGGAAAGTGAAAAATCACCCCGAGGGGGTTGGGGAAGAATTAACCGGGCCACAAACCCACAAACCCTTCTCCATCCGCCTCAGAATTTTTGGGAACCCCCACCCACAAACCTGGCATGATTTACGAGCTGCCAGGTCCGTTACTCAAACCAAGCATTCCACTATGTGGAATCCAGTGCCTTAACCTCCGTGTCACCCGCTGGCCCATCAGGGATGCCTTACTGAACTACATGCTCAAGTACACTTTTACGACCTGGTTCTGTTCTGTATTTCAAGGATGCCAATCAGGCATTTGTCCTTCGTCTTAGCATCTCTCTTCATGCTTCACTCTTTGTCACTTCCACCTGCACTCACTGACGAGCACTTGTGAGCAATTGGGCTCTTCAGTCACGTGCTTTGCCCCTGAAGGAGCTGTCGTGTTTGTCACCTATGGTGTGGTTCGGCCTTGTACGGGCTCCCCACTGCTGTGTGACAGCCACAGTGGCACGTGGCATGTTCTGGGTGTGTAGGTGGCTGAGGCTGGTTCTGCTCCGTGTCTGTCCTGCTCCAGCCCCAGCGGGCTACCCAGGGCACACTGAAGATGACGAGTCGGACTGGTAGCATATTTCGGATCTGTCACCGTCCAGTCGTCAGAGCCAGTCACATGCTCATGCAGTCAAGGGGCAGGTATATTCCCTTTGCCCACCACTGGGAGGGAGAGAATACCTGACACACAACCTAGATGAACCATGTCCTCACTTTGTTTCCTCAGGGTTGTCATTCCTCTCACCCATCAGGACAGCTTGAAGCGACTGTAAGGGTATTGGAGTTCTTCAGACACACAAATCCAAGAGGACATATAAAAATATGTGTGTGAAGGTATTCAAAAAGTTCGTGGAAAACGTGTATTAAAAAACTATACATGGGTTCCAAGAATTTGTACCAAAATAAACTCATACTTTAATTCTGTTTTCCACAAACTCATTTTTTCTTGAGACATTTTTGTTATAGGGCACGTGTACTTGCCACAGAGACAGAGAGACAAGACGCAAGAAATCACCCCCCAGGGTGGATGGCCACACCACAATCCCTTCTCCATTCTCTCGTGTTTTGGGGCACACACGGACACATGCCTGACATGAGTTTTAAGCTGAAGGGCCCAGGACTCAAACCAGGTCGGCTATTTGGGTGTCTAGTAACGTAACCATTACGCCATCTGCTGGTCTCTCCAAAAACTTTTTTTTTTGAGAGATTTTTGCTATAGGGTGCAGGCGCTCACCAGAGTGAGAGACAGAAAGTGAGAAATCACGCCCCCGGGGGGAATAGCCACCCCGCAATCCCCTCTCCTCCATTCTCCTCTTGGGATCTTGGGCACGCATGTACATGTGCCCACCAGGTCCGAGACTCACTGCAGTCAACTACATGGGAGTCCAGCAGCATAGCCATTATGCCATCTGTGGGTCCCTCCATAAACTTTTTGAAGTTCGCCCAATATATACAGAGACTTTTTTTTTTTTAATTTATTGAACTTTATTTTTATTTGTTTGTTTACTTATTTATTTTAAGTTGACCAGAGAGGAACAGAGTGAGAGAGAGAGAGAAAGAAGGAAAGTGAGAAAGCAAGCTGCCGGGTCCGGGACTTGAACCACAGTCAGCCATGTGGGAGCCCAGCGCCCCTACCCACCATGCCACCTGCCGGCCCCTACAGAGAGACTTATTAAGAGAGGTGGGCTCATGTGCTCATGGAGGTGGGGAAATCCCATGACCTTGTGTGCGAGGTGGAGGCCACTGAAGGTGGTGGTGTCGGCACCGCTCAAGCCTGAAGCCGAGAGCCAGCGCAGCCAGCACTAGGAGCTGGTGTCGGGGGAAGGCCGACGCCCCCGCTCCCTCGGAGGAAGTGAACTCGCCCAGGAGCCGCCCTCTCGTTCTGCTTGGGCCCTCTGCGAACCAACGACACCCAGTTGAATTGGCGAGGGCAGCTCTTCTTCACTCAGCCTACAGACCCAAATGCTGACCTCTTCTGGAAATGTCATGGAGACACCCAGAAATGATGCTTCCTCAGCGAGGGCACCCCTTAACCCAGTCAAGTTACAAGTGGAACCATCACAATGACGCATTTCTGCTTTTCTTGTCGGATCGTGGTCTTTTGCCCAGCCTGACGACAGCTGCCACTCTTCTGACATACAGCCTCAGGAACTGAGGGCTAGGCCACCGCCGGGCCGGGGCAGCTGGGAGCTCCAGGGCCTATCAGAACCGGGCCTCGGCTCCTCCCGCCAGCTCTCGCAGACAGCTGATGCCGTTCTCCTAGTAGAGTTAGAACAGTGTGTGCGGTGTGTGCGCCAGAGACAGGAAAAGTGAGAAAGCACTCCCAGGGGATGGCCAAGCCACAGTCCCGCCTCCACTCTGTTCTTGGGATTTCGGGCATGCACACGCTCCTGGCGTGTTTTTCATGTCGCTGCGTCTGGGGCTCAGACGGCGCAGTTAGCCACATGGGCCCCAGCACCTCACCACACCCCCAGCCGGTGGTAGGAGCTTGCACTCGGTCCTCTCTCGGCCTCCCCACCGCTCCCAGGGTTGAGGAAGGATCTCCCTGAGTGCTGGGCACCACGGCCTGGCCCTTCAGTTCCTCCCCTCGGAGGCCAGTCTGCCACAGCGTGCCTGTCCCCACACCACGGAAGCCTGTGCTCGCCCGCTGCCCGCGACTGGGAGCTGCCTGCTGCAGTTCTCGCGGTAATGAAGTTATCTGCGTTCCAGTCCTCAGATCCCGCAGCTGCCTCTTGATTTATCCTGAGTGTGTGTTGGGGGGAGGGGGAGGTAAGATAATCAACCCAAACTGACAATCCAGGTAAGAGGACTGGGCCAGGCACCAAACGGCTCCAGAAAACCAGGACACAAGGGAGCGGAGCCGGAATTAGCCCACGTCTGACTCCTGCCGTGACGGCCAAGGATCACCGCCCCCGTCTCAGCTTCCTCTGTGACCTCAGCATCAGCCCAGGGCTCCCTGCTGCACGTTACAACCTTCGTTGGCTAAACAGAAGCAGACTTGTTAAAGGGGATGAGGCAGCCCCGCACCCCATCTCACAGATGGCTGCAGAATCCATCTTGGGACCTTGCAGTCAGCTGCGAAGCCCACGCCCAAACATGGGCCTGCTCCTGGGACGCTGAGGCAGCGCCCCATCGCCCTCCGTCACCTGCAACCTACTGGGAATGGTAAGGCCAGAGTCTCTGCCCACCCAGCAGCCTCCTCCCCCAGCCAGTCCACCTGGGGATGCTGACTGGCAGAACTGAAGTCACATGACTACCCTGCTGCAAAGGATGCTGGGAAAGAAAACAGCTCTGCCTCTGGCAGGCAGGTAAGTCTAACCTGCACTTCCTCAAACCTAGGTGGATTCTGGGATGCTAGGTGGCCGAGGACAGACGACCCTGGCATGAGAGGGAGGCCAGGAAGACAAAAGGAGACGCAGCTCTGCGGATGATAAAGAGCAACAGTTTTATTTTCCAGTGGCTCCCCAAGCCCCCAGGCCCCTCCCTGGGCTCCAGGTGCACCAGGGGGCGGCAGTGGGGGCAGATGGGATCCCTGCACCAAAAGAGCAGTGTGAATGCAGGAGAAGGGCAGGGGAGTGAGCAGCAGGGAGCCAAGGAGCAGGGCCTCTCTGCGCCCTCCAGGCGCTGCCTGGACCCAGGCACCAAGGCCCTGCGATCCCTCGGACAGGGTGTTGTGGATGGGGAGGGGCAGGAAGCCTGGGGTGCCCACAAGAGCCCTCCCCAAGGCGAGAGGCCAGCGGCTTCACCGATCCATGCTGTCGTCCGTCGGGCTGGAGAAACAGGTCTGCAGCAGCTTTTCACAAAACTCCAGCTCCTCCTGGGTTAGGGTGAGGGGGAAGCCTGAGTGCGGAGGCCAGACCTGCCTCCAGCACATTCGGCACCGGGAGGGGGCTCCTCTTCCCAGCCACTGGTGCCTCCTTGTCCCGGAGCTACCCGAGCTGCTCCGGCCGCTGCTCAGACCATGAGGCAGGTCCCTTCTCAGCAGTGTATGAAATACTGAACTAACTCGGGGCTGCCCGCCTCAGTCCTCACAGCAGCCACCTTGAGCTCCATGCGCGGGACCCCTCTGAAGTGCCCGACGGTACCTATGGACGGACAGGCAGCCCAGGTGGCCCAGGAGAGGACGAGGCAGGGTCCCTGAGGCTTCCCTGAGACCAACACCTAAGCAAGGTACTTGGGCAGATGGATGAAGGGACCCAAGAGGCCTGCTGACTGACTTTTATTTTTAAGAATTATTTTAACTTTATTTATTTATTTTGACCAGAGAGAAACAGAACTAGAGAGAGAGAAAGTAAGCAAACAAGTCGTGAGGTCTGGGACTCAAACCGCAGTCGGCTATGTGGGAGTCCAGTGCCCCCACGCCACCTGCCAGCCCACTAAGTGACTTGACCATTCACCTTGTTCAATACCTACCTGAATATTGAATGGGCTGTGATTTATCTTTTTCTTTCTTTATTTTCACTTTATTCATTATTATTATTTTTAACTCACCAAAGACAGAGAGAAAATGAGAAAGCAAGCTTCCAGGTTCGAGACTTGAACCGTGGACTACCACGTGGGAATCCAACACCTTAACCACCACGCCACCTGAAGGCCCCTGTGACTTCTCTGTTGCTGTTCTTAGAGCACTGAGCCATGCATGAGCCAGTGAAGCACCTCCACACGGTCACTTACTACGATCCCCTCCTGTGGTCTGCCAACAGGCCGGGGATGCAACTCGCGGCCAGCATGTGGCTTCCGGCCCCACAGCCTGGTAACCACTGACTGCCGCAGAGGCGGGGCCTGCCATGTTCGTCACCTGCCTACTAATCTAATGAGCTGTTGTTTGTCACCTGTTACTTACCACCTGACCAATCAAGTAGCAGGTTATTTACTTGTTCTAGCTTATCAATTTAATGAAATACTTATTATCAAGGAATCTGAGTGATAGAATGTGATTGTATTCGATCACCTAGATGAACTCAGCGACTTCCTCGATCTCCAAAGACCATCTGAGCTCCTCGCCTCTCTGCTGCCTCCCCACAAGGGCTGGGGACAGCAGTCGGTGTCTGCTGAGCGGATGGGAAACATCGATGCATGCGAGCACTAAGGGAAGCCCGACCAGCGTCCCGGCCCAGCTCCCCAGGCTGTCCCCGCGCCCAGCGCCCTGCACACCTGGTACTCTTCACGCTGCTGCAACAGCTGGCAACGATGACGGAGGAGCTCCTCCAGGCCCAGCTCGGGCTCCCGGCACTCACGCACACCCTGGGGGAAGTCCGTCACCAGACTGCAGGGACAGGGGCAGCACTCAGTGCCCCTCTGCCATGCTGAGGGCGCCCACCCAGCCACCCGTGCCCCAAGGACGATCATGCGGCTTGCACAAAGCAGGGAGCTGAGCACACTGACTGGCATGGAGGCGGCTCAGGGCCTGCAGTGCACTCACTCCATACTGTATTTGTCTGGTTTTAAATCTGCAATAGGGCACTGCACTTGCCAGAGAGAGAGTAAGGGAGAGCGCACCCCCGGGGGGACTGCGCCGCCATCCCTTCCCCACTTTCAGGGTTTGGGGCACATGCACAGGCCTGGCATTTTATTTTAAGAATTATTTAATTTTTAAAATTTGACCAGAGAAGGAGAGAGAGAGAGAGAGAAAGGGAAAGTAAGAAAGCAAGCTGCCAGGACCAGGACTTGAACAGTGGTCAGCCACGAGGAAGCCTAGCACCCTTAACAACCATGCCACCTGCAGGCCCCTGGCATTTTATTTTTTTAAGAGCTTTTTGCTGTAGGGTGCATGCGGTCACCAGAAAGACAGAGACAGACAGAGAGAAAGAAAGCAAGGAATCATCCCCCGGGGGGGGAAGGGCCATGCCACAATCTCTTCTCCTCTCAGGATTTTGGGCACGCATGTACATAAACCTGGCGTGAGTTTTAAGTTGCCAGGTCTGGGACTCGAACCACAGCCAACTATGTGGGAGTCCAATGACATAACCATTATACCATGTGCTGGTCCCACCTGGCATGTTTTTTAAGCTGCCAGGTCTAGGACTCAAACCATGCAGCTGCCATCCAGTCACCTTAACCACCAAACCACCAGCTGGCCCTCCACCCTGTCATTTCCTTAGACACTAATCCACCTCGGGCTGCCATATGAGCCCATGCAGGTGGGGACGGAGGCTCGGTGTCCTGCTCCTCTCCAACCAGTCCCTCACCCACGGGGAGGATCCCAGCTCCTGGGTCCCAGGGGAAGACAATGGTGGGCCGGCTCCCGAGACACTGACCTGGAGCCCACCCTAGGCTTGCCCTCCAGGGCCCTGGCATACCTGCAGAGGGCTCCAAGTACGTGCTCATGGAAAGGGCTGTGTTCTGTCCGCACAAGGGCCACCAGCTGCTGGACCATCCCCATGGAGCACAGAGTCCCTGGGGAAAGGGTGGAGAGGCCAGAGGGGCATCTATCTCCACCAGGCCCCAAGCCAGTGTTCTTTCTGGCCACTGACCCTCCTCTGTACCCAAACCTCCCAGGGCATCTGCCCCCTCCCCGCTGGCCCTCTCTTGGGCACCACCCCACCTTTGTGCTCAGGGTGGCCCACCAGCAGGTTCTGCAGCAGGAAACTTGAGCTTCTGCACCTGCTGCTGCATGGCCCGCATCAGCACAGAGAAGCCGTCCAGACGGAGGAACTGCAACAGCCCAGCTTCCTGCTCCCGGACCAGACCTGGGGCACCAAAGGGGACTTTGAGGACCACTCAGCATGACCACTGTCATTTCACATCACCATCATGATTGCTATCACATCGTCCCCACCACCATCACCATCATCTTATCACATCACCACCACCATGACCATCACGATCATTATCACATCATCAACACCATCACCACCACCATGCATCATGACCATCATCTCACCATCGTCCCCACCATCACCATCATCCTTACCACATCGCCACCACCATGACCATCACGATCATTATCACATCACCACCAACACCATCACCACCACACATCATGACCATCATCTCACCATCGTCCCCACCACCATCGCCATCATCCTTACCACAAAACCACCACCACAACCATCACGATCATTATCACATCACCACCAACACCATCACCATCACACATCATGACCATCATCTCACCACCGTCACCACCATCGCCATCATCCTTACCACATCGCCACCACCACAACCATCACGATCATTATCACATCACCACCAACACCATCACCATCACACATCATGACCATCATCTCACCACCGTCACCACCATCGCCATCATCCTTACCACATCGCCACCACCACAACCATCACGATCATTATCACATCACCACCAACACCATCACCATCACACATCATGACCATCATCTCACCACCGTCACCACCATCGCCATCATCCTTACCACATCGCCACCACCACAACCATCACGATCATTATCACATCACCACCAACACCATCACCATCACACATCATGACCATCATCTCACCACCGTCACCACCATCGCCATCATCCTTACCACATCGCCACCACTCACCACCACACATCATGACCATCATCTCCCCACCGTCCCCACCACCATCGCCATCATCCTTACCACATCACTGCCACCACGACCATCATGATCATTATCACATCACCACCATCAGGATCATCATCTCACCTTCATCACCACCATCACAACCATCATCACCACTGCCACCATCATTGCCATCACCAACCACCATCATCATCACCATCACTACCACCACTACCACCATCATCTCCATCATCAGTCCCCACTCTATAGTAAAAACCTAAAAAAAAAAAAAAAAAGAGAGAGAGAGAGAGATAAGCCATCGGGCCATGAAAAGACATAGAGGGGGTTTGATGAGTCTTACTAAGCCAAGAAGCCTGTCTGGAAAGGCTGCATTTGGTTCTAGATCTACCACACCCAAATGAGGGTAAAGACAGGGAGGACAGGGACCAGCAGATGGCAGAGTGGTTACACTGCTGGACTCCCACGTGACTGACTGCAGTTCGAGTCCCAAATCCGGTGGCTTGAAACTCATGCTGGGTGTGTGTGCGTGCAGGCCAAGATCCCGGGAGGAGAATGGAGAAGGGATTGCTGTGTGGCCATCCCCCCGGGGGTGATTTCCCACTTTCCATCTCACTGTCTCTGCCTCTTTTTCTCCCTGGTGAGTGCATATGCCTTAAGGCAAAAACCTCTATTAAAAAAAAAAAATCACGGCACCAGCAGGCGTAACGGCTATGTTAGTGGACTCCTACATAATCGACTGCGGTTCAAGTCCCAGACCCAGTGGCTTAAATTCATGCCGGCGCATGTGTGTGTGTGCCCAAGATCCTGAGAGGAGAATGGAGGAGAAGGTACTGTGGCGTGGCCATCCCCCCTGTGCTTTCTCACTTTATTTTTGTCTGTCTCTGTCTTTCTGGTGAGCACACACACCCTATAGTAAAAACCTCTCCAAAAACAAAAAAAAAATTCGGGCAGGACAAACAGCCAGAGCTCAGAAGGTCTCCAGGCCGTGACTGCCTTGGGCGGTAGAGCCACGGTAAGTACGCTGCATTAGGTTTTTGTCAGCCTCCGAGGGCACGCAATGCCGAGATGACCCTGATGGAGCCAGACGTAGGGTCACAGTGTGTCCTTTGTCCATCCCCACCCTAGGGAAGGGGTATACACAAGGGAGGGCCAGGGGTAACAGGGGGTCTCATATCTTCCTCCCACTGTTACTGTGGAATTAAAACTGCTCTGAGGGACCAGCAGTTGGTGCAATAGCTGTGTCGCTGGACTCCCATGTAGTCGACTATGGTTCGAGTCCCAGACCCGGTGGCTTAAAGTCACGCCGGGCGCGTGTGCGTGCATGCCCAAGATCCCGAGAGGAGAATGGAGGAGAAGGGATTGCAGCGTAGCCATCCCCCCTGGGGGGTTGATTTCTCGCTTTCTGCCTCTCTGTCTCTGTCTCTCTTTCTGGTGAGCCCACATGCCCTAGAGCAAAAACCTCTCCAAAAAAAAAAAAAAAAAAACTTCTGAAAAAAGAC